AAAACTCCAAACTAGGTATTCTCATCATTGTCTAGCCCCAGCGTAATTACAGATCTTGTCACCCGTTTTTTTTCCTACATATTCTCTAGGTTCAGAAGCTCCACTAGCCCAGTCTATGTCTTTGGGTGAAATAAAAAGAAGGCACTGAACAGGTGTACAGCTTACTGAGCAGGGAGAGCACCTCTGCGAAAATCCACAGAAGGCATTCCTTCCTCTGAATAGAAGCAGCAAAACGAAAGGTCCCATTGTTTGGTGAGTGGAGCTTGGTCTGGATTTCAGCCAGCTCGTTCCCTTGTCTGGTACCCCTTGTGCAGTGAGCAACCTATAAAATCTTATCCAGCATCCTTATTTAAGTTCTAGCAATTCTAATTACTCAGTATTCTTTTCATTTTTCTTATCTTCTCTCTTTATTCGTACCTTGATTTTTGTGAAATCTTTGCTGATTCTACATCCTGATACATCAGAATCAATCATCATCTCATCCATGCTACCTTCAGCCTCCTTTACATTTTTTATTATTGTGTTAACTATTTTGCATTAGACTTTTATTTACCCAACTGACTTCCTTATAAGGCTGTGAGATTTTTAATGACAAGTTTCATGTTTTAATTCACATTTGCATATCTAGTGATCAGTGTATTTAAAATGTATTGTTTATGGAATGAATGAATGAATGCATGATGACTTCATGAACAGACAGATGGATGTAGTACACAGATGAATAAATGAATGTCTAAATAAAACACTTTAATAATTACCTAAAATGGCCTATTTCAATCTTTAGCTGCTAAGATCCCATCCTTCCAGTTTCTATCCAAATCTCCTATTTTATATTTTTCTGATCCCATATCAACAAGTCAAATAGAATGATCTCGAATAACTCACAATAACTATAAAAATGACAAATATTTATACAGCAGGCTCTGTACTAAGAGCTTTCCATAAATTCTCTCACATAATCTTCCCCACAATCCAATAATATAGCAACTCTAATTATAATTGTTTATTTATTAATAAATCACTTATTTACCCCTGAGAAGATCATGTACTGTAGTGATGAACTAACTTGCCCAAGATACATGGTTTGAAAGTATTGGAACTGGGTCTGAAATCTGCTCTTTAACTCAGATCCCAAATTTATAACCACTATATTATACCTCTATTCATTTATTCATTTTGGTACCTTCCCAAAGTCAAGTATTGGGCCCAACAGCTGGTACTCAATAAGAGAAAATTGAGCAAATTAACTAGTGAAATTTAAGTGAAGGTCTCTTCAGAAATTCTGAAATTATTGAAATATTGAAATCCCAACATGGATGTCTTTAAATAATCACATTTATCTGAAAATAGCATATTATAAAGAAATTCTAAATATCTAATTACAATGATTACATTCAGTATTTCATACTATAATGTGTTTATTAAATCATTTTTAAAAATACACTATCTAGTGTTACATTTTCTTTCAAAAGAACTAATGTAAAATATAAGACAAAGTTTTATAAGCCTTCATTCATGGACAAACTTTGTACATTACAGAAATTTTTCTTAATGAATGCTACATTTGTAAGAAAATACTATTTATTTATAGTGCTAATGAACTTATATAGCAAGCTCATTACTTTTCTTAACTCCTTTATAAATTCACTTAAAATGAGTTATCTCACTCTGCCTATTTTTCCTATGAAATAGATGAATATATTTGAAGGTACAACAATAAACAAGCACCGTCACTGGCTTGTGTAGGGACAGACCAATAAGCAGCCTTCAGTCAAGGGACACATATGGAAGGCCATGTCACAAAGTCCCTGGAAGAGGAGGAGAAAGCAAAATCTGAAGGACAAGAGGGATTCAGCCAGATGAAGTGGGTGAAGTAAAGAAAAGGCCCAGATTTAGGAGAAAGCTTGGTATGCTGGGAGGAAATTCAAATTGATATCACAAGCTAACAAGTTTGGGCTTTATCACGAATGCAAAGAGAAGCTACTGAAGGGTTTTAAATGAGGAAATTAGGACCTAACTTTTATTCTAGAAAGATGCCTCTGGCTACAAGTTGGGGTATTGAATTTGATAAGGGAGAAGGTGGAAGCAATCTCAGGAGAGGAGACAGAGGCCAGAACTGAGTCAATAACAGTGCAGAGAGAAAAATCCCACTATGAATCTTTCTTTTTAGCCTTATCACTGCTTAGCACTTCACATCCAAAACCCTGGCAGGAAAGTGGAAGTGCTGACTTTATGTGACAGAGATTTTTACCTACCTTGCATTGCTACTCCATTTTAAAATGTAATTCAACACTTAGTTTGACATGTCTGAATCCTACAGACAAACCCAAAACTGCTACTGGGCATGACTTTTTAAATTTTATATTTCAAACACTGTTGTTCCTATCAATATGTACTTTTAAAGCACATGCATGTTTTTCTTCGTCATACCTAAAGGTCTGTTTCTCTCCTTTTATAAGTGAATATAGCTTATTAAAATAATTGCCCTTTTTATTTTTTTTCAATGTACATTTATCAGATTTAATAAAGATAATAGTGAAGTCAAAAGAAAAGTACTATTCAAAAGTTCTCATGACAAATGATAAATGTTTTCTGTAATGGATATGCTAATTAGCCTGACTTGATCATCACACAATGTACACATGTATCGAAATACTACTCTGTACCCCATATAATTATTGTACACAATTATTACATGCTGATTAAAAAAAATTGAAAAAGAATCCTTTACAGTGATAAAGGTGTACTACAAAACTACAATCATAATATATATTTAAGTATTTTTTATGCATTTTAATTGGAAATCTACTGACCCCTATTCAATTTTACCTTTTCAAATCTCTTTAGCTTCTCTGCCCTCCCCCATTTTCACTCCCGTGTACTGAATTCACACATTCACTGGGCTTCCTCTGGCCTAACACAAGAGCCTCTTATCTCCTGATTCCACTTTCATTTCTTCAAGGAGCTAAAAGACTTCTCAGTGGTGTACTGAATTCACACATTCACTGGGCTTCCTCTGGCCTAACAGAAGAGCCTCTTATCTCCTGATTCCACTTTCATTTCTTCAAGGAGCTAAAAGACTTCTCAGTGAGATGTTTGGTCAACCAAAAACTCTAACTCCACACAAAAGATAAGCAAGCTAAAATAAGCGTTCAAAAGTGTTTTCACAGAAATAGAATTGACCAGATATACACAACAGAGGAGAGATTGAAAGAAAAGTCAGATAAATAGTTTGTAAATATAGGTGCATACAGTAGTGCTGTTGTATTATGAGAAAACTGTGTGTGTGCACATGCACTACAGTAAATCTTTTAACTGTGCTTTCCTAAAGTAGTATTTCTTATTTTGAGACTGTATCCTTCCCTGCTGTTTTCATAAAATGCTCTATTAATATATGTTGGTAAAAGTTATAGTTTCATTTGAGTGTATATTTTAATGCTGTTATTTAGTAAAATAAAAGCCATGAATCCTATATTAATTCTCAAATTGATTTTGAATATTTTATTATCTTACAGTGCTCTGAAAACAAGAGTAAATGAAAAACTAAAAACACAGGGTGACAGGTCTCAAGATAGAAAGAGCAAAAGGAGTCAAAGCAGGAGACTGTCCACTCCCGGTAGCTGTACTGAGCTGCTCCCTCTGTGCATTCTCAGGCCATGGAGACTCGTCAAAGCACAGTGCTCCTACCTCTGTCACTGCAGAGACTGGAGCCTGAGCCACCCACCAACTTATCTCCTTTGGGTTCCCAGGTTCCTCTCTGTTAAAACTGTATTCCATTTTTCCTCATTACCTAGCTTAGTCCCTGTTGACTTATAACCAATTTTTAGAACATTTTTAAATTGTAGATTTGACACGTCCCTCGACATGCTTCCTAAGTCACAACTTTGTCTCTATGCAAAATCCATAGGCTGCTTACACACATTCTTAGAGCTCTACATTTCTGGGACACCGATCTCTGGCCCAACATCGCAAGCTCCATGACTCAGGGATGCCAGGGATGAGGAGGGAGTAGATAGTTTAGGAAAAGATGACTCATGCAGTATCAAGTCCAGGCCCTACCTACTGGATAAGTGGTCCTGCATGTATCACAAAAACAGCAGAAGGACAACTAGAATAGATTAAACAGTCATGGCAAAGATGAGGAAATACAAGGAAACATTAGAAACAAAGTAAATTTTACTAGAGTGTGAGAAGCAAACAATAGAAACCAAAAGAAGGGAGGCAGGAAGGCACATCGTGAGTAGAGTCTTTTCCAAATAGGAAGGAGAGAATAAGAATTTTATTAACAACAGCAAACTTTTCCAGAAACATTCTATGTAAATGAGGTGATTGTATCCACATTTAATCAAATTATAGAGCAAGAAAAAAACAGAGCATTTAGTCAGTCACAAAGTAAGACTACTAAGATCTAGTAATTATGGCATTTTACCCCCAAATCCACATTGTCACTGTACCAGAGTATGTTCAACTTTATACTTCAGCATTTTTACATTTTGCATTTTGTCATAAAACTAAATAGTTAAAGAAATAATTACAACTGAAATTCATAAAATATTTGTTTTCTTTACATTTAGGTGCACAGAATTTGGGAAATATATAGGACCTACTCTAGTCCAAATGGACGGACCAAATAGTATTTTGAACTGTATTAAGATCATTATGAATACAGCTTCTATCTCCTATCATATTGTGTACCATTACATTTGATAAATGTACTACCTATGCATTTAAGCCATTGGTAAATACTCAGAACACAGCAGGGCTAACGATTTCATGGCATTTCACTTGTAGAAATGCATACTGAATTTTCAATCAACTAAACAGTAAGTTCTACTACCTGCACTTGCATTTTTAAAATTTTATCCAAGTGAATGTCTGTGACATATTTCATATATACTTACGATATACCTTATAGAAATGCTTATATAGATGAGTACTAAAAATAAAGAAGTACTTATCCACTGGAGAAAAATTAACTGAAATTGACAGTAAATGCCTACCTGAATATATTTGTGCATATACCAGGAAGCTTGCTTTCCATCATTCACTGATTCCACTGTGGTGTTAGCCATGCCAACAACATCACCACCTGCAAACACCCATGGTTCACTGGTTTGCATAGTTTCTGGATCTACTTTGGGGAGATCCCATCTGTTAAATTTTATAGGACTCAAAGCTTCTTTTACTGAAAAAAAAAAAGTGAAAGACAACAGGCAATGACTAATCTGTGCATCACATAACAATAATGTGAAAATTAAGAAAAATTATGATTTAATTATTGTTCTAGGGATTCAAGCAACTGTTTTTAATGAACCATAAAAATGAAAGGTTAATAAAATAGTGGAGTTAAAACACACTGAATGTGTACTGCCTCAACCAATTTGAAATACAACTCACAGGCAGGAATTAAAGACCCCAGATTTGGGCAATGTTTCAAAGCTGGCATTGACGTTTAAGAAGTATAGATCCATGAGGAAAAAAAGTTAAACCCTTTATTTATCCATAGCCATTAAATAAATCTGCTACTACTCATACAAGAGTACTTCAAAAGTTCTTGAAAAAATGGAATTAAAAGGTAATATAAATCTTTCTATGAACTTTTTGAAGACCCTTCGCACAGGAAAAAAAGTTAAACCCTTTATTTATCCATAGCCATTAAATAAATCTGCTACTACTCATACAAGAGTACTTCAAAAGTTCCTGAAAAAATGGAATTAAAAGGTAATATAAATCTTTCTATGAACTTTTTGAAGACCCTTCGCATGATCTCAAACTTGTTCTTGTATCTCACAGCCGTCAGTTATATCATGAATAGAGGTCAATGGCCAATCTCCATCTTCCACAGCAAGTCATTTTATCATGCAAAATGAGACAAAATCAACACTTTCACCAAATTATTTACACTTAACTGTAAAGCAATTTAATAAACCCAGTAATATACTTTACGTTTAGCCTGCAAATATAAATGTAAATGTAATTTTGCTTTGTTTGTTTTGTAAAAATCAACAAGTACAAACATTACCATTAGTTCCTTGTGGAAATTGCTCTGTAAAATAGTTTTACAATTACTTGCTAAATATGGTGCATTCCAATGAATCTAAAAGTGTCACGGGAAAGAGATTAGGTTCCTGTAAGAAAAATATCTGGAGAAAACTTTGACTGGAAACATAAACTTGAGATCTGAAAAAGTTTAAAATATATAACTTAGAGTGTTGATAACAGCAAGATCAAGGGTTAGGATCCATGTACTGGCCAGTCACCCCACCCACAAAGCACAAAAAAACTAACTTAGAGAAAGGGTTGAAAAAGAAATAAGGAAAGGTAGACAACAACCTATATGATGGAGCAAACAGAGCCAGTGTTTAGGATAAAATGTCCTCTCCATGTACTCATGTTATGATTTTTAAATTCAGCATCTCAGGACAGACTAAGGGCATTATTTTTTACTCCAATTCAAAAGAGAAATTAAAAACTTAAACTAGAGAAGAAGATCATCAGAGATCTCGAAACTGAAGTTAGTTGTTGAATTGATTAATCAATCAAGTATAAAATAAAATCACCAAATGTAAAAAATGTTATTCTGACAAAGCCAATTTCTTCTAAGCAAAATAGAGAAAAACAAAAACAAAAACATAAAAATAAACCTTGGTAAGTATATATTTGTAGCTTTCTACTTAAATATTAGAATTGTAGAAACTATTAAGAGACTACTGCTATTTGTATTTCCCCAGAAGAATGCAGTTTCCAGGAGAACAGGAATGTGTCCCTGCTGCCACCATTGTACACAGAGCCTAGTACAGTTCTTGGAGCACAGAAGACACTCAATTGCATAAATGATGAATGAATGAATGAGTAGATGGGTCAATGCTATCATAATCAGGTTTTTATTTTAAAAACTTCTACTGTTTCTGTTTCTTATGCTTTTTCACCTATCATCAAGAGTAGAATTAAAGGGCCGGCCCGGTGGTGCACTGCTACAGTGCGCCGCTTGGGAGTGTGGCGGCGCTCCCGCCGAGGGTTCGGATCCCACAAACAGACCGGTTCCTGCTCACTGACTGAGTGAGGTGCGGGCGCGATGCCTAGGGTTGCGATCCCGTTGCCGGTCCCGGTCCGGTACGGGCGCGACACTGAGAGTTGCAATCCATTGCCGGCCACGAAAAAGACAAAAAGGAAAAAAAAAAAAGAGTAGAATTAAATATTCATGTAATTATTTTCAATGCAGAATGGCATTTTGCGCGATGCCTAGGGTTGCGATCCCGTTGCCGGTCCCGGTCCGGTACGGGCGCGACACTGAGGGTTGCAATCCGTTGCCGGCCACGAAAAAGACAAAAAGGAAAAAAAAAAAAAAAGAGTAGAATTAAATATTCATGTAATTATTTTCAATGCAGAATGGCATTTTGAGAAGATGTTTTCTAATATCTTTAAAGGTCACATGAAAGGAGACCTTTATCATTTGTTCCCCATTGCACAACAGATCATGACTACCATCTGTTGACAGTTACTTGAGTTGCAAGAAAGTCTCAATAGTGAGCATGGCTTGTCAATTCAACCTATTGGAATAAGAGCAACTTTAACACACCATCACTGAACAGTATATGTAATGAGTTTTAAAAATATAAGCAAAATTTTAAAAATAATTCTCCTATCTAAAAAACGACCTTATTTGTCCAAAACTTTGATACAAGTTTAACCCACAGAAATCTGAAATAAGCTGATTTTTAAATAAGAATTCAAAATTATTTCACAAAGAGATTAAAGCACTTTTATACATTTATCTCCTTTTTTACAGGAATATTTTTTAAAGTTAAGTACAGACTTCACTCTAAGCTTCAGCAAGGTAGGGATTATACATTAAGTTATCTTTGATTCCCACTGCATCTATTGGAGTCAAAGACATACGACTCCATCATATATACTGCGAAGTTACTTAAGCTTAAGTCAGGGTCCCTCACTTGCACGAGCCTCTTTTAAGGCCTGTGCCTAATTTTGAATTTGTAAGTTTTTCTTTTCTTAAAGAGGAGCCCTCAAATTTTATAAGCTTCAGGCCTCAAAAAATTTGAATATTTGCTTGAGCACAGTGAACTAAACACAGTAGGTGCTGAACAAATGCTTGATGAATTAAATTGAAGTTCTTGTGGAAGGGGATTCATAATTTCTTTCTTTTTTGACAGGGGGGTGGGACAGCTTGCCATTACGGTGATCCAAATCTTTGATTTTGATGTTATCAGCACCATGCTCTAACCAAGTGAGGTAACTGGCCAGCCCTGTAATTTCTTATGATGAAAAAACGTAAACAGTATTATTCACTTTAATATCCAAGCTCCATTATGACCTCACTCAATAAGAAGTCTGGAGATACTACTATGGGTTTAATAAGTAACTGCATTTCTTAAAATATTTAGCACTAACACCATAAGCCACCCTAAAAGCATTTATTTGTGAATTCAAAAGCACTCTTTTTCTGGGTGTTTTCATTGTATATGCATTGACTTATTATGTGACCCATTCATATATACTCATGTATACTTTTAAAAATAAGCTTTCTTTCCTTGATATTTGACTTATCTTTTGAAGTCTTGTACCTGAATATAAATTGTTTTAATTATTTTATCATTTGAAACCTAACCTCACTAAAAATCAAACAATTCTTTGATACTTTCTTCCAAAACAGAAAAGGATCTTTCATATTAAAAATGATCTCCTTTTGAAAATTATCTACTGAATTTCCCCCTGCTCTTTTTGCAGGCCTTCAAGTTTAACATGTTCTTAATTTCATTCTGGAAATAAAAATAAAAAACAATGACAAATCACACACTGATGAGTATGTTATTAACATCAGTCAAAATAGAGATCATTTGTATTAATTTTAATATCCAAATGATCTGCAAAGGATCATTGAAAAAGTAAAACATAGGCAACTTGTATGAACATAGCATTGCTATAGTAGGTCCAAAATGTCTTCTTTTTGTGACACTAAGCAGCTAATCCAGGAATGACTATTTATCACGACCTGTACATCAAATGGTTAGGATCATTTCCCTGTAGGTACAGTAGACTCTATTTAAGTATATGTAATATTCATACAATATTCATATATTTATTGAAACGTTGTTAAATCTCATTATGTATGTAAACAATACCTTTCATAATTTCAATGACTCTTTTGAAATATAGCCATTATATTTACAAGGATATTTCAAAAGGTTCAAGGAAAGATTTGTATTATCTGTCAATTCTATTTTTCCATTAACTTTTTGAAGTACCCTTATATTATTTAGCCATATTTTTAAAGCTCCAAAGTATTTATCTTAGAATGGAAATCAAGTAATAAGTGAAAAAACTCCACATGCATTTTATTCTTAATTTGTCAGAAAGGAATTCATTGATTTAGCTGCCTCTTATGAAGAAGACTTTCATCCTCATCATTGAAGCAATCCTTCCATAAACTCCTCACATCTCTTACATCTCTGCTGATGCATTTAACCTAGTATACAATGAAAATAGACCTCAGAAGCATATCTTCTGTTTTGCCTTGATCCAGCTTAGAAGGAGTGAAAGCATAAGAGGTGAAAAATGTATATTTACATTTGCAAACCAAACAACTGCTTGCCATTTCCTATGAAGTGCTAAATGAATATTAATAGAGGGATTGTATTTTTCTTTCTTGTTTATAAAATAAGGGCAGGGGTTCTGTTGTGATCATGCACAGTTTTCTCACAGATTTTCATGAGATTGCATCTTGACAGAGATTACAACACATGTCCCAGTAGCTCCACAGCTGAACAGAAAAAGAACCCCCAAACATGCTTATTCAGAGTCTGTAATATTCTGCAAATGGAAGAGAAATATGTTAAATGATGTGGTGCCTGGAATTTTATGCAGTCTTTAAAAAGAATGAAAATGTCCTTAATTCATACCAAACATTCAAGATTTATGTTAATTTTCTGCTTTAATTACTACTGTGTTCAAATGAGCTTATTTAAAAAACAAAGACACTCTGAGGTAGCTTTAAAACAAGAAATGATTTTGAGATAGAAACTTTTAGTCAATTTAATGCTATGCATGAAATGATTTTTTTATATAGACTTAATTGTATTGTGACACACAAGTTCTTCAATAAGCCACAGCTTAAAATCGCAGAAACCATCCCTCAGGGACACATCACTAACAGATGCAGATTGCCAA